AATTTGGATTCAACTTTAACAATTGAACTCGGATTTTGGCCTAGTTATGTACCACCCGTTCCTTAACAGCTTCAATCTTACTTGTGCCGATCTCTTTGCCTGTTTTTTGCTCTCCTCTCCCCAGTTTCTTTTGATATCCCCCGGTTCGAAAGCAATCAATTGAGCAACTAGTGGTTCTGCTGTGCCTTTCCTTAAAGCATCACTAGTGATTTTCTTTTCTTGAATATTCAGGAGCTAACACCATTCCAATGCCCCCCTTTCGCCATGAAAATTAAAGCTTTATAAATACAAATACAAGCAATATATTGAAACTCATTGCCCATGGATTAAAAAAAAACCCGTTTCAACATAAAAAAAAAAAAGGATAAAAACTAAAGCAAACATATAATATCATATTCAAAATTGTAACTAAGTGTTGCCCATTGGTTCAATGCCCGATTCATAATTAGAAAGTTTTTTTCGGTCCTTTGCTAATTTGGGCTAAAACTTTGAAAATATAAAAAAGGCCAAAATAGGAATCAAACTTGATATTATTAGAAATGTCAAAAAAAAAATATCATATTTATAAAATGGTGGTTTAATAACATGGGGTGTCAGTGACGATTTTGATAATCGAAGCAGTGCCTTTAAAGATATAATAAATTAGAATTTTTTTAAAAAAAAAAATTGTTTTGTACGGAACATACTAGTGTTCTGTCCGAAATAAATAACCCACGATGATGATCTATCTATGTGGTCCAGCCCTTGTTTTTGGGTTTGATTGGTTTTCGAAGGGGCTGCTGTTCCTCCCGAACAGCAGAGGAGCCGGATCCGCCCCCTCTTTTCCCTTAAGATGTCATCTTGGCATTTCCAAATTTGTTATAACGACAATTGGCACAACTCAAAGGCATTCAAATGCATGTCGATGAAAGCCGTTGTAGATTCTCTTTTCCACCAAATTCTCTGAAAATTTCTTGTTGGAGGTTAGTTCTTGGGAGGAAGGCAAAGCATAGCATCTTGCACATAACGGTCTATCTATATAGGGACCAAAATGACACAAATTAAAAATTTTATAAACAAAAAATTGATATAATGAAGATTAAACTGACAAAATATCAATATTTTATAAACAAAAAATACTATTAAACCATAATTGTGTTCTGACCATAAAAAATAGAGCTTTAACAATTATTTAACGTACCATAAAAATTATTCTTAATTTTGGACGAGTAAAACAACAAAAATGTGTGGCGAAGTCAAGCCATTGTGACTCACCATTGGTTATGTATCGGTATAATAACTTGAGGGAAAGAAGGAGATACATTCAAAATTCTTTGTTAAGGATAAATAAAAAAAAACAACATTAATGTGGTGGGATGGGATTATGATTGAAAGAAATCTATGTTTTGATAACTTTGAAGAGGATTATTGTTGGGTAGTTTTAAAGACTAAGAGTCTATTAATCAAATGATCTGACTCAACTAAGACATGCATATGTAATTTAGAAGTACAAAAACATTTGTAAATATTAATTTATATCGATTAGGAGAGGGGGGTGTCGTAAAACGATTAGTAATACCCCATATTTAGTGACTTAATTCAATTAAGTTATTGGATAGGTTGAAAGTTTTAATATCAGATAGAACCCATTTTTAATATTAAGAATTATGTTCCGAAATTAAGTCCAAATATCATTTTCATATAAAACATATAGATTTTGAGAGAAAGTTGAGTGCATAGATGAACAAGTCAAAACATAAACCAATTATTATTATTATTATTGATATTTAACAGCCAAGGATGTCTGAGCTGGTTTATACACACTTTTTTTAATTCTCTCTCCAGTCTAGTCAAAAGTAGGTCATTCACGTCAAAACTAAGATATTAATTAAAGATAAATTTCTTATAATCTAACTTAAAAAAATTATCAAAATTTAAATTCAAATATTTGAATTTATAGCTCCTCTCCACTATCATTTCAACATTTCCTTGGGTTATAAACCAATTAATTATTGAGACGGCAAATCTGTCAAATGAGACGATTCCACAGTTCACTTCAATTCATATGTCAAGGTATTCAACCTTTAAAAAAATACCCACGTTCCTTTATTGGCTGATAATTTTTTATCCAAATAAATGTAGATAATACTGTGCAACTTAATGGATAATAAATCCTTAGGCTGTACTTCTTTCTAATAGTTTAAATATAAATACATATTTTACCATTAAGTCTAAATATGAAATTAATATATATATATATATATATATATATATATAATATGTAATTGATAAATCAGTAATGCTACACTAACTAAATTTTAGGATCAAATTTAAAGTCCAAATGACATGACAGTATATTATTTGGAGTCTTTATTGAGACCCGAATGACATGACACAAAATAAAGAAACCCAAGTCAGCTGCCATGTCATTTGGACTCTAAATTTTGTCCCAAAATTTGGTCAGTGTAATATTACTGTTGATAAATATGTTTTATGTATATATCAAAGAATATATAGATAAATAACATACATTTCATTGTACATAATTAACTTTCTATTTATTTTTCCTTCTAATTTTAAAAGGATCGATTTTGATGAGTTGAAAGAAAAACTAATTCATTCATTTTTCCGTCATTCCTTACCAAATATAAGATTTTATTTATTTTTTAAATTTTTTTTATTTTTTTTTTATTTTTTTTATCATACCAAATGAAACATTGGAATCGTGAATTTAAACTTCGTTGTCCCATTCTTATAGCAGTGGCTGACAAATTTTAAAAAAAAAATTGAGAAATTATGTAGAATGGAATTGTTGACGCTTGTGCACAGAACTTCTGTTCAAAAACCACCATGGGTAAAAATTGTAAAGCACAATAATTGCACGTCGCCTGAGAGATTCGAACTCTCGCGGGGAAACCCCATGTACTTAGCAGGCACACGCCTTAACCACTCGGCCAAAGCGACGGTGCGTTCTTATGCTTTCTTGATGATATATATTTATTAGTTTGATTAGATTAATGCTATTGAAGTTATCAGTTGGTCATGTCCTATTGTGCTTTCAAATCATGTAAATTATGTCAGTGTTAAAATTTATTGAGTTGATATAACAATACAAGACTCTTTTATAATCAAGTTTATATTACACTTAGCTAAATTCGTGCCGATCTATTTACTTGACAAGTTTTATGAATTCAATAGATTATCACCCAATTACTCTAAAATTAAATTCAAACGAGTCCAACATGTTAGTTTTATCTACTTCATTGGGTTCGCAAGTCTTGTGATGAATTGTCAGGCTTAGAAACAATTGACATGATCCAATAGTATTAGTGTAATTATAATTGTAACCATTGATGAAAAATAAACGTATTCGATTTTGTAGCACGGATCTTTTACAAGATTAATTCGGATCAACTTTGATTCCTTTAGAAAATGTAGTTCAAGGAGCTATATATGGAGCAATTAAGAACAATTTATATCAACTTCTCAGAATTTAATAACTTCAACCCCATTAACAACTATTTATGATTTTATTTTCGAATTATACCCATTATCTCAAATTTTGAATCGAACTAATCCATTGACATAATAGTTTTTAAGGATAAAATTGAGTCATTTAAGACCTAGAAGATTGACAAGGCAAACCACTAGTTTTCGAATACGAGATACCCATCCTAGTCACTATGAACATATTTGCCCAATTGACACATCCGAAAAAATTAATATTGGACATATTGGATCCTTGGCAATTCATGCAAGGATTTGTCATTGGGGGTCTCTAGAAAGTCTTTTTTTATGAAATTTCGAAGAAATCACCCTGTAAAGATGAATACCATATGGTAATGATAAGAAATTGTTTGACCTTGAATAGCGGTATTCAAGAAATACTTGTATTAACATCAAGTACTTTTTATTTATTAGGTAATCGAGAATATCCTTTCTGCACCATTCATACTTGAGCCACTAATCAACATACATCTTTCTCTCCAGTAAATGAGACATCAAATAAAAGAGGTAAACTTAGAAGTTGCATTATTTGGATGTCCAACAATACCCTTTTTTTTTGGTTCTCTCTCCTCCTAACAGTATTTTCGGGTTAATTACATGCAAGCCTCCTCGTGTTTACCTCTAAATTGCATGGACCTCTCTAAACTTGAAGAAAAATAAAATATATCACCACCATATTAGTAACCAAACTTGTGAAAATAAAATTAATTATGTTAGTGAACGGAGCAGCATACCCTACTTACCTATATTTAGTTAAAAGAAATCTAAATTCCATCCCACGATTATACAATCACCATCATCGCCGCACCCCCTACTCAGATTTCAAATTCATGCATAGGTTGAAGCAATTGTGGATAACACAGTCGAATTTTAACTATACGATTGATCATACGCTCTCTAATTTGGCAAAACTACACAACTTCAGCAGATCCAAATTTCGTAGGACCCATATCTATATATATAAAACAATTAAATAAGGTGAGAAGCGACTCGAAAAACTTTTTCTTTCACCTTTTTTTTAGAATTTTTAATTATTTATCACTTAATCAATTATGTTCTAACACATGTCTCGTACGACTACTTGTCTACTCCACTAATTAACTATACTCATTGAATTTTATTTTTTTTAAATGAACAACTAATTTAATTTTTTTAGAAAATATGGTTTTACCACCATAACTTTACATAATTATTTTATCACCCTATTTTTTTAAAAAAATAATAAATTTTTATCCAACTTTTTAAATGGTATGGTGACAATAAAACCAAAAAAAAAAAAAAAAGCAAAAAGTGGACAGAGAAGGGGAGTTCAATTTTCGTGCGGCCAACGCTAGTATTCTATACGTTCCTCACCAGAGTCTATTAAAACAAAGGCTCCTGCGTTTTTCCCTCCATGGCGGAGAACTTATCGCAGGACCAACCATTTCTTTCTGAACAGCTTTCTTTTTCTTTTTTTTAACTTTCTTCCCCACATAAAATTCTCACTTCTCCTTCTTTTCCACACCCCTCCCTATTATACCTCCCATACCCAAAAGGAAAAAAGAAAAAAAAAAACAGAAATTATATTAGATCAGAAAAAAACCTCCCTCTTGTAACCTCCACCTTCCTTCCCCGATCGATGATGGCCACGACGTTGATGGAGTTTTTTCCGATCTATCGCTAAAACTAAATCAATGAGAACTGTCATTGCCAAACACAGGCGTCGTCGATCTGGGTAAAAATTGGAAGGAGCATTTTATCAAACAATGGAGGTGCAGAGAATGGAGGAGTTGTTGTTTTTATGGTCAAGATTGCAAAGTAACCGTGTTGCCCTTGTGGGTGGAAATCACACCGCTTCCAGGTTTTGCACACGCTAATCTCGTTTCCGATCACAGTCACTACCCTCTCCTCTTTCTTGCTCTTCTTGCTTTGTATGCAATCTTTTTTAATTGCTCATCCCTTCTTCTTCGATCTCCCTCCAACTCTCCAAAATTTCAAATCCTTTGTTCTTCGCTTACATATAACTGTTCAACATCGCTCTTTCTTTTCTTCTTTCTTGAAAAACTCATTTCATCTGATTGACATGGGGTGGTACAAAGCCATGGATTTTGTACATGATTTTCAAATGAGATATCACGAGAAGATCAAGAAACTGAATATGGGTGGCCTTGCCCTTGCCCTTGGCTTGAACTCGGAGACGAATTTCGTGATAATTAGGCTCCCTCATTCATGGGTGTTGAAATTGGTATCTAGGGCTGTACTGTTCGTGTTAGCTTTGGTTATTGTTTCTTTCTTCTGCCTCAATTCGATAATCGGAGGTTTTACAGCTAATTTCCATGGAGCCAATTCTAATTCTGATCTTGCAGTTGATACGATGAACACAGAGCTGTTGCCTTTATTTTTCCGTGATTTGGCCAACGAAGGCCTTCTGAAAACGGGTGATCGAGCTGTTTTCCTCAGCAACGGCAACGAGGAAGCCATTGATGATTCTCAATTTCTGAGAGATAATGAGATGGATTTGATATCGTATTCGGATTCAGAGCGACAAAGCTTGATCCCTGATGAGACTTTTGACTTTGCTTTAACCCATGGCTTCCATGGGGACTCGAAATTCATCGACCGGGCTCTCAAGGTTGGTGGCATCGCTGCGATCCAACTCAGTGACAACCCTATGGTGGCATTTCAGAAGCCTTCCAACTACAAAATTGTCTATCTCCGAAAATTCGATTCAACCCTTGTGGCCATGCGGAAAACAAGCAATGGTGACACAAATTCACCAACACAACGGAAACTCTGTGGTCTTGCATCGGAAGCAAAGAAGGCAGCTCTGAAGAAGCTCGAGGACGTTCTCCTCGAACCACCAAGAGCAGCATCAGGGAGATCAAACACATACCTCAAGAAAACCAGGTACCTACCGGACCTAATGGGCGACTCTCTCGAAAGCTACCCACGACGAGTCTTCATCAACGTTGGCTTGCCAGACAAAAACGATTGGTTCGCAAAGCATTACCCAACTAGAAATAAGGATTTTGAGATATACAAGATTGAAACTGTGACAGAGGAATCATCCGGGAGGGAGGTACCACAGATTGGGATGTCGGATTGGCTGGGGAAGACCGTGAAAGAAAATGAGTACGTCGTGATGAAGGCAGAGGCTGAAGTGGTGGAGGAGATGATGAAGAGCAAATCTATAAGACTGGTGGACGAGCTGTTCTTGGAGTGTAAGCATCAAGGTATAAAGAAGGGTGGCAGAAGAAACAGGAGAGCATATTGGGAGTGCTTAGCTCTTTATGGGAGGTTGAGGGATGAGGGTGTTGCTGTGCACCAGTGGTGGGGTTAGAACAGAAAGTAGTTCACAGAGAGAGAGAGAGAGAGAAGGGCAGAGAGAGGTGACCATGTCCACAACAGTGTCCTATATTTAAATATCTGTGTTTTATGCACTTGCTGTTTTTCAATGTTTGGGTTTTGGGTTGTTCTTGATGATGTTTCTAAAGAGATAGGAGATAATGATAGTCATAAGAATATGGAGGGGTGTATCCAGAGTGTAGGAGTGATACTCTTGTAATAACACAATATTGACTGCTTCCTTTTCAGAAATTAATTTCTTAAGTAATATTCAGGTGCAAAATTTGAATCTTGAACACTAAAATCTCATGTTTGGAAGGGTTAATTTGGGGTATACTGATCTCAAACTTTCATCAGCTTTGGCCAAGTTCAACCATAAATTGCTAATTTCACTAAATCTCACTGGGCTGTAATGGATATCATTCTTAAGCTAATGATAAATAACTGAATTTGATCTAAATTGATAACATTTAGAATGGAAAGATCCAACTTCTTTGAATCAGACCTTGAGGTCAAGGAAGTCAGCAAAATATGAGTTAGACTGGAGTTAGGAAAATCAAATATCTGTAGAACACAATGTGGGATGCAATAAAAACTTCAATGCCGAGAATCAAGCATTGCATATATGTGTGAGTGTGTGTATGTGCCCATCAGCCCATGCATTTACAAATTGAGCGAAAAGGAAGACGGTATACATACTAGACACATGGACTTGGGCATAATATTTCAGAGAACTTGTTAACCTCATAAGTACATCTTCAATGAAATGTAGTCGTAGAAAATGAAACTACACCCCACAAGAAAGTTTTAAGCAGGCCAATTCACCATAGATAAGAGGGTTTTACAAATGGTTTAAAGAAGAGTTCTTGTCAACTTATCACAGCTAATCCTGTTTAACCCCCATGCTGCATTCCAGCCGTACCCAGTTTTCACTTAATTTAAGCAAAATTGGAACCAAATTACATCATCGAGCCTTCTCAAATTTCATGTGATCTTCTATTTAACGGGCCTATGTCTCCAGAAAAAGAATAATATTCCAATATCCTAGCATCCTATGAGCCAAACTGAACCAATCTCAAATTTCGCACCAGCAAAGTTAAAAATTGCTGATAAAAAAAAGAAGTTAAAAAAGGGCAGAAAATCACAGAAAAAAAAGGAGAAAGGAGGAAGAGAAGGGGGGGGCTCCACCGTGAAAAAAGTAAGTAATGAAGAAAGTGCATAAGTGAGATACGGACTATTTCAAACCCAAAAAAAGGAATGTTTTTTCCCTGGCAATAAATAAATTTTGAAAAGGCAACCAAATGACTGAAGCTCTCGCTGCCACTCAAATTCTATTCAAGTTAATAACCATTGATATTTATTACTAAAATAGATCATGAGTTTTTTCTAGTTTGCAAACCAAATCACAACTAGAGATAGAGAGGAGCCACATAAGAAAAACCCCACTCTCAACAAAAGAATCAAACAATCAATATTCTGATCAATACAGACAATGCAAAAAAGACAAATAGCACAAATGGAGAATATTCACACCCAGAATTTGGCTCCAGGTCTGCTTGCAGAAGAGACTAATGATGCAGGCATAGCTGGTCAGATGGTACCTGTGGTACAAAGACTTGCACCCCAAGCAATACTGGCCGCACACAACAAAAGCACGCCATCAACAGAACATGATTTGGTCATTGTCATATTGAATAACGGCTACCCGGAAGCTAAGCAATCACATATCACACAAAGTGAGTGTTGCAGATACAAGCATCGGACAATGGCATGCTAAGATCAAAGTTTCAATAACCTAAAGTGACATAAAAACTTATAAGACAAGACATATCTGCAGAGATATATTGCTACATATTCACATACCTACAGAATGAATCTTTAAGCAACGAAGTGGAAACTATACTGTGAAACACTGCTTAAGAAAGAATACCAAGATACATACCGACAGTAGATTCTTAAGTGCCTTTCACTATCATAACCGGGCATTGTGCATGGTTAGAACAGTAGTTGCTTACACTTCCCAGAAACATCCTGTTTGGATTCAACAAACCATGAGGTGTAATTCACTGAAAAGAGCACACCAAGGCATAGAAGTTTGATGATCAGAAAAAAGGAATCAATATCTGAGTTATGTTAATTTGAGTTCATGTTCATGTCAAGTATATACTTTTAAAGTAGAGCAGTTTCACACTGCAGGTCATCTCAATATCAGTAGTTTTCAAAAAAATGTCTTTAAACAAAGTGAAACCCTCACCACTAATTACTCTTGGCACTTATTTGTGCGAGCCAATATAGTGGTCCATTGATTTGTGAAATTGCCACAAAAGACACGATTGCAAAATAATAACATAATTAACAAGTTTTATGTGACTAGAATAACTACTTTCATGGTACGGGGGCCAATCTAGTGCCCAATTCTTCTTCAATGGCCACATCTGTGGTGATAATATGATACATTCCAATGCTATATAAATTGATGGGACTCTTCTGAAAAGCCCTAAGATGAAGACACGTGTCCTCGGGGGGCTTTGGAACAGTGTTGCCCGGATGTAAGCACCATCGGCAAAGAACGTCCTTTACCCCCGAGGTACCTCTCATATAGGATCACACATTTCGGTGTATTATACAACAAACACGTGCCCTTGGTCACCGCGTACCTCGGGGAACATACCACCCTCGGTCCCCGAGGAGATCCTGTCCTCGGTGCCGAGGGTCACTCCATCCTGGACGCTTCCTCTACTCCCGGATAAAGCTACTGACGTACTGGACATCAGCCTATGCCAGTCTGGACTATTCATCATGACCTCTTCTTACACAAGTAATGTCAGAACGTTCTGGAATACCGACGTAACAGCCAATAAGGGATGGACGCGTGGCAAATAATGTCACATCCGAAGCAGACAAACCGCATGCCGCTGCTGGCACGCGACTTGGGAAAGCAAACAATTAATTGCACCCTTCTGTTGACGAGACCGCATTCAATGCGGTAAGGTTCGGATATGAAAGGTAATAAATGCTCCTATTACAGAGCATTTATTGCATCCTTCCCGAAAGGAGCATATTGTACCGTCGGCGTCCCGACAACTCAGCATTGATTGCTCGGGACCCCGAGCAGTCAATTAGAGAAGACATTCCTCATCAAATGATTACACACGCTACCTGTGCCTGATAATCACCTACTGACCACACTGACAGCAATCATGAGCTTCTAAGGTATAAATACCCCACCCAAAAGACAAAGCGGGTATGCAATCACAAAACTCTCTACTACAAAATATCCTTCTCAGTGTTTTCTCCTTCCTCTCTCTCATTCAAAGACTGACTAGACCGTCGGAGGGGATACGCCGGAAAACACTCCGGCGCCCTTCTAACTTGTTCTCCTTTGTTCCAGGACAACCTTTCGCACGTACAGGATCGTTCTTCCTTTCCCAGGATCCTCCTTTGCCGTTCCAGGTTGCCACCGTACCTCGCAGGTTGTTTCAAGCAGCGTGTTTGGCCACTCAACCGGCTCACTCAGAGTTCACCAGGGGAGAGATCTGTTCCCAATATTATATATATATCGTGCAGGATCGAGCCCGCACAATCTGGCGCCGTCTGTGGGAAACGAGTAGTTTTCCTAATCTTTTCTCTATAAAGAACAGTGACCATGGTGAACACCAGACAGAAAGGGAAAGGAACCCACCAAAGAAGTCATGAGTTGCAGGCTCCCTGCCATCACGGAGGGAGGGATCGCACCAGTACGATTAAAAGTGCCTCTACTCGGTCAAGGGGGGTAACCCCCCAAACCAGTATGGGGATCAGGTCAGGAGGATCAGCCCCCTTGGCCCGTCAACTGGCAGAGGTGATAGAAGAGAAATTTGGCGATAGATTACGTCAGCTGGAGAAGGACAATGTAAACGTCCTTAGCCGGCTCGACGAGTTTGCCGCCTCAGGCGGAGGGTCGAGGGATTCATTCCTTTCCCGAGGACTCCCCGTCCATGAGGCGGAGACAAAGGATCTAAGAAACCACCTGGATCACAAAGCAGAAAGCTCCAGGGCCCCGAAGCGACCCAGAGCCGGCGAATGCCATCTTGACAACCATTCCAGGAAGGCGAGGCCGTTGGCCCTGGACGACCTCCGGCGAGGTTTGTCCAGACGGAGGAAGGGAGATGAATCCGAGGAGGACTCAACCCAATCTACACGACGCCCGGGAAACGAGGGGCTTACCCATGAACCCAGGGACTTCAGGAGGCATCCCGTAAGGGAAGAAGTAGATCTCAGAGCCCGATTAGACTCCAGAAGAAAGGGTAAGACTGTCCAGGACGAGGCCGAGGACGAAGTCATGCAAACACCCTTCACGAGGGAAATCAGTGAGATGGATGTCTCAAGAAAGTTCGTCGTGCCACGGTTCAAGACCTATGATGGGCGATCTGATCCCGATGCCCATATCAGACAATATAAGCAGATGATGTCCCTCTATCATTCGGACCAACGGTTTCTATGCCGGGTGTTCCCTATGAGCTTGGGGGACTCTGCGATGAGGTGGTTCGAGGCGCTTCCCCCAAACAGTATTGGGTCCTGGAAAGAATTGACAAGGCAGTTCCTAACCCGATTCATCACGGGGAGTAAGCGCCCCAAGGACATTGGATCACTGTTGACCCTCAGGAGGAGGGAATCCGAGACTCTTCGCCAGTACGCCATCCGATACTGGGAAGAAGTCAATGAGGTCGAGGGATGCTCGGAGGTCATGGCAGCAGCATCCTTCCGGCTCGGCTTGGCGAGGGACACGGACCTGTACCGATCCCTGACCAAAAAGACTCCCTCGGATATGGGGGAACTGATGGCCCGGATCAACAAGTACTCGAGGGTCGAGGACGAGATGGGAAGCAACAAAGGCCGAGCCCTCCAACCCAAGAGAAAGGAGAAAGAGCGCGAAGATATTCCCGGAAGGGATTGCTACCCCATCCAGGGGGTTCGTCCAGAGGAGTTCACACCGTCTTCAAGGAACCCATCTTCAGGTTGCTCCATAAAATCAAACACGAGCCGTTCTTCAAATGGCCGCCCAGGATGCAAAGCGACCCCTCCACCCGTGATCAAAAAGTAAGGTGTTCATATCACCGGGATGTCGGGCATCGCACCGAGAGCTGCAGGGTGTTCAAGTCATTCTTGGAGAGCTTAGTCCGAGATGGATATTTGAAAGAATACATAGAGCCTAGGCCAGAAGAGAAACGAGCCCTTGCCCCGACCGGGGAACCGGACAACGTCATAGACGTCATCCATGTATGTCCGCTGGAGCGTCCCACGTCCAAAGAGCTCGAATCCGACCTCAAGAGGGTAGCTTTTACCAGAAAGGTAGCCGAGGGAGATGTGGGGCCATCAAGTAAAAGGGCCAGGATGGGTGAGCTTGGCATTACGTTCTCTGACGCGGATTTGACAGGCGTGGTGATTCCTCATAACGACGCCCTTGTCTTGACCCTAAAGATAGGGAAATTCGATGTCAAGAGAATTTTGATAGATTCAGGGAGCTCCTCGGAGGTGATGTACTTCGAGACTTTGAAGCGGATGGGCTTTGGCCCCAAAGACTTAACCAAAATCAGGACACCCCTCATCGGGTTCAACGGCTCTTTCGCCTTGCCCGTGGGGAAAATTACATTACCGGTCGCCACTGGTCCCTTCGTCATCGACACAGAGTTTGTGGTGATCGACACGGACTCTCCTTACAACGTGATTATGGGGCGAACATGGCTGCACGCGTTGGGAGCGGTGCACTCCACTCTCCACCAGAAGTTGAAGTTCGCCACGCCAGAGGGCGTCATGGAGATCCGGGGGGATCAAGCGTCTGCGAAGAACTGTTTTTATTCGGCCGTCCGAGCCGGGGCGTCCAGCCAGGAGAAAGGGCGAGCACCGGAAGAGATCATGGAAAAATAGCAATTACAGTCCGGGCGTCCAGGCATGGATGACCCCCGGGTAGACCCAGCTGAACGATCGGTTGAAGACCTCCGGAAGGTTCCCTTGGTTGAAGGAGAAGAGGAGAAGTATTTCCTAGTGGGACCTCGATGCCCGCGCCGAACAGGAGGAGATGATCAGGTTCTTAAGGGGAAATACGGACGTGTTCGCCTGGAACGAAATGGAAATGACAGGAGTAGACCCTGAGATCATTACTCACAGGCTTCATGTTGACCCATCACACAAGCCAGTAAAGCAGAGGCCGCGACGTATGGCCCCGCATCACACTAACGCGGTCAATGAGGAAATAGACAAACTCCTAAGAGCCGATGCCATTCGAGAGATACAGTTCCCAGAATGGCTGTCCAATACAGTGTGTGCAAAGAAGAAAGGGGGAAATGGCGTGTCTGCGTGGATTTCACAGATCTAAACAAGGCCTGCCCCAAGGATGACTACCCCCTGCCGAAGGTGGACCAGCTGGTAGATGCCACAGCCGGATATGAACGGATGGACTTCCTGGATGCCCGAGCAGGATATCATCAGATCCCTCTCTATGCCCCGGATCAAGAAAAGACGGCATTTATCACTCCGAAGGGAGTTTATTGTTATAAAGTGATGCCGTTTGGATTGAAGAACGCCGGGGCAACATACCAAAGATTGATGAATCGGATGTTCAAGAAGCAGATCGGCAACACCATGGAGGTCTACATAGACGACATGCTGGTAAAAAGCAAACGGAGTGGTGATCATCTTACAGACTTGGCGGATACCTTCTCCACTCTCAGGGAGTATGGGTTGAAGCTGAATGCAG